CTGCAGCCTCGGGAAGAAGAGACTTTGGGGGTCAGGACTAGGCATGATGGGGGTGAACTCTATGATGGTGGGTCCCTCACAAGGGAGAGATCAGTCATATGTGTTGGCTGACAACCCCGGGATTGAGCTCAGGGTATCAGATCAGTGGTTCAGAAGGGGGCTGCCAGATCAGGGGCCAACGTCCCTCCCCAAACCCTAAGGGTAAAATCACACTACCTCTGTGCCTACCTGCAGCCTCCAAGCCCCTAAAGATCTGTCCCTTCTGTGATTCTTACCTCCCAGTCCCCATCCACTGCTGCAGGGTCTGTCTGGTATGTACCTGCTGCTCTCCTTCAAGAATGTTCCACACCAAATCCACATGCAAGAGGGGAGAGGCCTACCCTGTGCCACCCTGTCCCTCCCCTAACACAATGGTGCCTCTCAGCACAGCTCCTCTGCCTGGATTTCTTTCTGGTTCCCACCAGCTGGCTCTATGCCCCCTCTCTATGGTGTTTCCATACGGCCTGCTCCCCTAGCCCCATTGAAGTGTGAACATCATACAGACTTTCTCCTTTCCTCCACACATCCCCACTGCTCACACCACGTCTGGAGCATAACGGGTTCTCAGTATTTATCTATTTCTACCATCGTCTGTCAGGAGCTCTTGTAGCATAGGGGTTACGAATCGGGCTGTGAACCTTAAGGTCAGCAGTTCGAAACTACCAGCTGTTCCACAGGAGAAAGATGAGGTTTTCTGCTCCCATAAAGGTTTACAGCCTCGGAAACCCTGTACAGGGTCACTATGAGTCGGAACCGACTCCACGGCACATAACAACAACAACAACCATCGTCTGTCAGAGTGTGGTACTGCGGTGTGTTGCTCTGATGCTGTTGTCGCTGGTGGGCAGTTTCAGCAGAGTTTCCAGACTGACACAAAGTATGCAAAAAGATGTAGTGATTTACTTTGGAAGATCGCCCGGTGAAACCTCATCAATCACCACAGAACATTGTTGGATACAGTGCTGAAGGAGGAGCCCCTGGTTTGGAGGGTCCTCAAAATACAAAGTAGTCACAATGGGCTCAAACATGCCAACGGTTATGACCTTGGCCCAGGATTTGACCGCGTTTCATTCTGTCCTATGTGAAGTTGTCGTGAGTGGGAGCTGTCTTGATGGCCGCCAACAGCAATGTTTATTTTGTTATTGAGTGAGGGAACAAGCAAGTGAATGTGGACCTCAGGTGTGGACCACACCAGGTGGATTCCTTCCAACACGCACAGTATGGGAAGATGGGAACAGAGGAGCTTCACAGTGGACAAACCTGAAAAGAACCACCTCAGCCAGGTGATCATGGTCAACACCAGCCTTCCTAAGTTGCGTTGACAGCATGTACACTTGATACAGGATGAAAATAGCATCCCTCCATGGTCTTCCTCTTAAAAATCCATCATCTCAGTCTCATCAAGAGAAAAACACCAGACAGATCTCAACAGATGGCATCTTCCAAAATACCTGACCGGTTCTCCACAAACCTTCCAAGAGCATCCAAGACAAGGGATGTCTGAGATACTGCCAGAACCACACAGAGTCTAAAGAGACACGAATAATGTAGTGTGATTGCAGGATGGATCCTGGGACCAGAAAAGGATAGGAGGTGGGACCTAAGAAAATCTACATAAGCAATGGAATTAGGTTTCGAAAAATATATATCAATATTGGTTCATTATTTTTAACTAAGGGAACCCTAGTGGCATAATGGCTAAGTGCCTGACTGTTAACCAAAGGTTAGCTGTTCAAATCCACTGGCATCTCCACAGGAGAAGATAACTATGGTCTGCTCTGGTAGATTTCACCCAGGGACACGCAGTGGAGCACTTCTACTCTCTCTATAGGGTGGCTATGAGTCAGAATCAACTCGAAGGCACACAACAATTGTAATAAATGAGATGTTGTCAATCACTTGATGCAGGTGAAAACTGGACAATGAATAAGGAAGGCTAACAAAGAACTGGTGTCTTTAAATTATGGTGTTGGCCAAGAATTCTGAATATGCCATGGACTGCTCGAAGAACCAAGCGCTCTGTCTTGGATGAAGTCCAGCCAGGATGCTCCTTTGAAGGAAGGGTGGCTAGACTTTGTCTTACCTTCTTTGGACATGTGATGAGAAGGAACCAATCACTGGAGAAGGGCATCACTCTTGGTAAAGTAGAGGGTCAGTGAAAAAACAAAGATCCTCAATAGTGGCTTCAACACAGGCTGAAATGGAGTCGGTTCCGACTCATAGCGACCCTGTATAGGGTTTCTGAGGCTGTAAATCTTTACAGGAGCAGAAAGCCTCATCTTTCTCCCATGTAACAGCTGGTACGTTTGAACTGCTGACCATGAGATTCACAGCCTGATTCATAACCACTACCAGAGAGATTATATATAGTTACATATAACTGCTGTTGTTGTTAAGAGCCACCAAGTCGGTACTGACTCATACTGATCCCATGTAGGGTTTCCAAAGCTAAATCTTTGAGGGAGTAGAAAACCTCACCTTTCTCCCAAGGAGCAGCTGGTGGGTTCAAACTACCAACCTTGTGGTCAGCAGTCCACTGCTCATCCTTCAGCACCACTCTCAATCATATATAACTAAATAGATATTAAAATACAAGTATAATTATTGTCATTTCTTCATTTCATGAACTGTTTCTCTGTGTGTGAGAAAATGTTAGCAGAAGTCTCTGAGTTCCCTTGTGTACGCTGGAGGTCTCCCTGCATCCAAGTGTAAGAATTTTTCCTCTCTTGAAATAGATTCTCGCAAAATCAATTTTTACAGACCAAGTAGATTTTTCTCTACAACATTCTCTTAATTTTTCTGTAAGTTTAAAACGGTTTTGAAAAAGACAGTTGATGGAAAACAAGCACATGAAAAAGCACTTCCCTAGCTCAGGCTGCATATGGCTGGGTGGGAAAGAAAACTCATCAGGAGCAGCCTTGGCCCACCAAACCCTCCCTAGGACCACGGAGTCCAAGCGCTGGAGAGAACACTCACTGGCTCTCACTTGGCTGCACACGGGGACTATCCAGATGTTCTCCTTGGGCAGGGTGGGTGGAATGAGATGGGTGGGATGCAGTAGGGTAGGTTCTGGTGTCAGCATCTTAGAAAGCTCTGTGGGTAACTTTGGTTGCAGTAAGATTGAGAACTCTTGAGTCAGCAATGATGGGCCGAGCTCTCACTCCAGCCCTGTGGGAAGGACCTCATTTACCTACTCATTTCTGCACTTCCTGAAGGTTCCTCAGCAGTAGTGAGCAGGTCTGTCCCCACACCCCATGGTGGCGAGACAGATGCATCCCAATGACTCCAACCTGTCCAAAGGTCAGCCCAGAGGTGCCCACTGAGCTCTGGTGGCCCTCACTGACTGGCCAGTGGCAAGTGGCCTATGGGGAGAAGTGAGTGGACCAGTCAGTCCATCTCTCTCTGGTTCTCCAGAAGTGGAGCTAGTATCCTGGGAGGATGCTGTAGGTGGGGAGCAAGGTCCTGAGACTCAGCACCTGGCCAGTTGTGAGCCTTGTCTACCACCTGAAGGGGCAGGGGCCGGGGAATGTGCACAAGAGGAGGAGGTGAAGCTGTCCATCCAGGTGCCCTGGGGCCCTGCTCTGCCTGAGACCTGTCTGCTCACCTGTGCTCTCTCCAGCCACACCAAGACCCTTGGGCTTCTTGAGAATGCTCACTAGACCTAAGTCTCCACATTCCTCTTCTCACACTATGTTGTTGTTGTTAAGTGCCGTCGAGTCGGTTCCGACCCATAGCGACCCTATACAGGATTTCTGAGGGTGTAAATCTTTACGGGAGTAGAAAGCCTCATCTTTCTCCCGCTGAGCGGCTGGTAGTTTCGAACCGCTGACCTTAAGGTTCGCAGCCCGATTCGTAACCACTACGCTACCAGAGCTCCTTACACTATGGCCAAGGAAAACTCGGCTGCTGCTCAAACTGGTGCACACCTGGTCGGCCCAGTGTGGCCCTTCATGGAGGACAGAGAGAAGGCAGGTGTCTGTGGCCAGAGTTGTTTCCTGTCTCTGAGGGACCACCAGACACAGAAGGCAGCTCTGGCATAGGACACTGACTAAACGCAGAGCACCTGGCCAGCCTGGGTACATCCTTGTAAACTCTACATGTCCTCCAGCTGGACTCAGCCATTCTCCCCACCTGTCCCACCAAGAGCGAAGGTCCCTCCTCTCCCCAGTGTGGCCCAGAGGTGGAGAGTCAGTACTGCCCAGTGCCCACCTCCACCGGTAGGGACTCCAGAGTGGATACTTTACAGGCAGGCGCGTGCCCACGGCTCTGACAAGCGGACATTTGTCTCCACATACTTTCCTTCTTTCCACAGATATTTCCAATTCCCTCTATCCTTGCCCAGTCTCCCCGGGCCTCGCTCCACACACTTGATCTGTGCACGTTTCCCTGAGGAGTGCGTTCTGGTGGACAGAGCCTTGTGGTTTTCTTTAGCTTTGGACCAAGACGCAAACTAGGAGACGCTAACCGCGTGCTAGCTCTTCAGGGACCAGTGAGGCACATGAAGGTATGGATCAGTGTTTACTCCCATGATGGTCCTATTGGTGTCCTGTGGACAGTCCCATGTTGGGACCTGGGATTGGTTCTGGGGCCATGCCCACCACAGGGATAGGAGGGGTCCCAGTGCCCACTTTGAAGATGTAAAGATAAGCATGACCTTGGGTCCGATGTCGCAGGTGACCCACGTAGTGTGGACCACGTTGGAGCAATGCTGGGCCAATGCTTCCTCCTCATGGACCATCTCGGCCAATGCGATGACCCACAGCCCCCTGCCCCTGTGACAAGTGTCTCTCCTCACAGTGAGCAGTAGGGTCTGGAGGAGCAACCGTGTCTTATTTCGTTTGCCTCAGCAGCAGCAGCAGACATGGAGCAAGTGTTTGTGAACACGACTGAGTGAAGACAGGCATTGCAGACCCCACTCGGGGACCCTCCCTCCCCAGCGAGGAGCCGGGCCGCCAGCTTACCTCCCATGAGGAAGAGCAGTCCGGCCACGTACTGCATAAGGCCCCGGTCCCAGCAGCAGCCTAGCACCCCGATGACCCAGCCGAAGAGGATGATGGCCACCGCCATGCCCATGAAGCCAGCCGTCATTCTGCGCAGGTCTGTGGGAAGAGGGACAGGTGTCAGCTCGGGAGCCAAGGGTTCCAGCCAGCGCTCCAGTCCCGACGGAGGAGGAAGGGAGCTCCCGTGGGAAAGTGACGCTGCTAACTGTGTGAGTCTGACATCACGTCCTTTCCACGTGCGCATTGCAACGTATTTTCAGTTGTTGTAAAACCTACCCAATAATCCAGGCACATTCACCCCACTTACCACGCAGTGTTTCCGTCACCATTATTTCGCCCTAAAACGTCTTCATCTCCCCAAACAGAACTCAACGTCCCATGAACACTCACTTCCCGCCCCCGAACCCTTCCTAATCACTAACAAGCTTTAGTCTCTTACTTTTGCTTATTTTACGAGTCCTGGTGTGGTTCTGTGCGTTAATGCTCCCGACTGCAAAGTGTCTGAACTGCAAGGTCGGCGGTTCAAGCTCACCATAGGGTTTCTGAGGAGCAGCTTGGTGGGTTTGAACTGCTGACCTTCTGGTTCAAAGTCCAGTGATGGTCCTATCGTGCCACCACCAGAGTATTCTTCATGTTGTTGTTAAGTGCCGTCGAGTCGGTTCCGACCCATAGCGACCCTGTACAGGGTTTCCGAGGCTATAAACCTTTACGGGAGCAGAAAGCTTCATCTTTCTCCCGCGGAGCGGCTGGTAGTTTCGAACTGCTGACCTTGCGGTTTGCAGATCGATTCGTAACTACAACGCTACCAGAGCTAAGTAATTCTTCATAGCTAAGTAATAGTCCATGATATCTGTGTGCCACGTTTTCTCTGTTCATTTGTTAAGTATTTCAACTTTTTGAGGCAGATATGTGTGTGGATAGGGTCTTTATCTCTATGATGGTTTAGGTTATGTATCAAGCTTGGCTCCGCCATCATTCTCAGAGGTTGGGCAGACTGTGTGCAATTAGTCTCCATTTTATGCTCTGAGTAGCCAATCAGTTGGAAGGGGAGTTTCTTTGGGGGCGTGGCCTGTATCCCATACCTACTGATGCTCTGGCAAAGCTTACATTTTCTCTCTCATTCCTGCCCTCATCTAGTGATCTGACCGTCGCTTCTTGAAGAAGCTTCAGTCAACTGCTGAACTACAGATTTGGGGATCATCAACCCCTACAAGCACCTGAATCAAGAGAATTATTCAGCCGACCGCATGACACACAAATGTGGGACTGGCCAGCCTTCACAACTGGGTGAGGCCCATCGGGGAAGTAAATCTGTTTTATACGCACACGTCACTAGTGTGACTTCTCCAGAGAATCCAGCGTAAGGCAATCTCCATGTGAAAACTGACGCTCAGAGAGTCTTTCTGAAAACCATTCTACTAGGAATTGGTAGGACAGGGATTCACACCCATTGTACCCTCAAAAATTTAAGGAAACTTACAGGGTACATGGAGTCCTGTGGGTTAATGCACTGGACTGCAAAGTCAGTCTGAACTGTGAAGTCGGCGGTTCAACCTCTTTAGCTGCTCCTTGGAAACCCTATCCAGGGTGGCTGTGTGTCAGAACCGACTCAACAGCACTTAACAACAACAATAACAGGGTAAATAATGAAGAAACGAGAAAATAAAGAAAAAGAAGATGAAGCCAGACATCATGCTCACACAAAATGAGGACCATCAGCTCCTTAAACCCACTGCCAGCGAACCAATTCTGAATCATAGTGACCTTCTAGGATAGGGGAGACTTTCCCGTCGGGTTTCCTAAGCTGCAGATCTTCGCTGAAGCCGACTGCCTCAGCTTTCTCCAAAGCAGTGGCTGGTGGATTTGAACCATTAACCTTCCAGTTACTAGTCCAACACCTACACAACTGTGCCACCAGAATTCTTTACAAGGTCCTCAGGAATGCCATCTCAGCTTCATACTCAACCATATGTGAACTTAATACATCAAATGTGATTTTTCCATGGGTTTTATTTAAGTTATTGTGGCTCTTTGGAGGCACTTGGGTCCATCCCAGTTGCCCGTCCTGCCTCTCTGGGTTCACCTACATGCCAGGTGTCATTTTCAGGAGTAGGAAACCCCTTCCTCCCTTTTTCTTTGTGTTGGCTCACAGAATCCACAGCAGCGTCGGGTACCCAGGAACTTACAATGATTGCCTCTCCTGCCCAGCCCATTCTGCCTCTTTCTAAAAGAAAGCAAAAGAAAATAAAAGAAGAGGGAGAACGAATGGAATTCACCTAATTCTGAGGCCTGGAGAAAACACCATTCAAGGTTCGTCTAGAATAACCCCCCCCCCCCCCCCCCCCCCCCCCCCCCCCCCCCCCCCCCCCCCCCCCCCCCCCCCCCCCCCCCCCCCCCCCCCCCCCCCCGAAAAGAACCAGGAATGACAAGCCTGGCTCTAAAGCTCAGGCCAATATTAAAAAAACACTCACGAATTCTCTAGGGCTTGAATCCAGTATCTTTATTCCACGACCCCATTTTCAAGTTTGCATTCAGAAATGTGCCTTCTACACTCTTTAGAACAAGGCGAAAATTCCATTCGGTACCGTGACAAGAACTGGGCAGCAGGGAAGACAATAATCACCCCCAGGAAAGTGGGGAGAAGAGGCAAGGGAAGTCACTCAGTCCAACCAGAGTGAGCAGTCCTTCTTCATGGAATAATGTCTGATTTTCAAGTTTACCTTCCTATTAACATTTAAATGGCAAGGTGCTGCTTGCAACTTTACACAGGAAACCAGGACTTGTACATTTAAATAAATACCACTTGGAAGAGAAAATACCCATCAGCTCAGAATGCCTTTTTATTTGTTCTCTGAAGATCTTACACACACACAAAATGATGATTGGAATTTTCTCCTCATTAAAAAACCACAATGGGGAAGGTCAGACTGTGTTAGTCTGCGAAGGCTGGTGAAGATGGGGAGAGGACAGGGAGAACCTCATGTTGGGGTTCTCCTTGAGTGAAGAGCCACTCCCCTCTCCCCACCAGCCCTGGACACAAGAAGGGAGAAGTCCGTGTCCAGGGAGCTAACCATCACTCAGGAATCAACTGTCCCTGTTGAATCCGTGTCCCAGGGAGAGCAGAGGGAGATGGTGAGGATGGAGCCAAGGCACTTGGGTCCCAGGGTTAGCCCACCTGGTGCTGAGAAGCACTGAGAAGTGACCTGCAGTGACCACATGGGTCATGGGACCAACTTCAGACAGGTGGGTGCACAGAAGGGAGTATTCCAGGGACCGATGACCTCACTACATCTGGCTACACTGACTTTTACCTGAAAATAGCATGTGATGGAGAGAGAAAGCCCCACATCCTTTTGTGTTCAGGTAAATGGCTGTCAACCAGGATGATGACCTTCAGCTCCCCCTAATTTGACTAAACCATGGGCAGCTTCTTCTGGCCTCTGACCCTGCCCACCCGCCCCTGCCCTGCCCCTCCCATAATTCAGGGGGAATGTTCCATCTGCTCTATAGGGACACAAACTGAACATCCTCAAATGGTCACACTAATGCCAACTCAAACTGTATCTTTTCTACTGTCCCCCGCTATCTAGGAAGGAGCCGCCAGCCCCCTCCTCCCACTGCGCACACCAAAACTCTGTTCTCTAGGAACGGGCCGTTAGCCCTGTACCTTGTGATTGTCCTACCTCTTCTTTGTTCCACATACTTCACTGCCCTGATGCATGTGAAGCTTTATACCCCATGATATTATAAGACCCGAGCTCACGCCCCTCACTTAGAGGAGCTTCACTGTCCAATTGGCTACTACTGGAGACCGCTGTCCACATCTTCTGTCATTAAGTTCCCGCCAGCAAACCATGTCTTTTTATTTTCTTTTCATCAGTAAACTAATGCCTTGGAGATTGGTTCCTGGTTGTTTTTTTAGTCTCTCTGCAGAAGACTTTTCCCTTCTGGGCTTGAACCCCAACATGCCCCCAATAGTAAGCTAGGGATGGCCATCAGGGTGGGTGCTGACACACCCCACAGCTCCCCTCCCAGTACCCTCAGCCCTTCGGTACTTCTCCACAAGTTTCTCTCATCCCTGGGGAGCATGGTGGCTCTGTAGGATAAGCACTGGACTGTGAACCATAAGGTTAGTGGTTCGAGCCCACTAGCCACTCCATAGGAGAAAAATGAGTCTTTCTGCTCCCATGAAATTTTACAGCCTTGGAAACCATAAAGGGTTGCTATGAGTATGAATCTCTGTAGGATAAGCACTGGACTGCGAACCACAAGGTCAGTGGTATAAGTCCACTAGCTGCTCCTCAGAAGAAAGATGAGGCTTTCTACTCCTGCAAAGAGTTACGACCTTGGAAACCAGATATATGGTTTCCAGTCAGAACTGACTTAAGGCATTTAACAACTTAAAAGTCCCTCTCCCCCCCAACTGCAATATCTCTGCCCCTATGCAATAATTTCTTTGGATAAAGTAATTCTTGGTAGTGTAAATTATTATATATACTTGAGTATTTTAAATAAAATAAAAGAGCTAAAATGAGTAGAGAGAAATACTGTTAATTGATGGTACATGGAGGGGATTATAACCATTGTAATGAAACAAAGCATATGATTTGTTGAATGTACAACTGATGATCTGCCCTGTAAACTTGCACTCAATTCACAATAAAAACTTTAAGAATAAAAAAATTAAGTAATTCTTGCTTGTTTTAAGGAGCCCTGGTGTCATAATGGGTTAAGCATTGGATTGGTGGTTGGTGGTTATGTGCCATGGAGTTGGTTCCAACTCATAGTGACCCTGTACAGGGTTTCCGAGGCTGTAAATCTTTATGGGAGCAGAAAGCCTCATCTTTCTCCAATGAACAGCTGGTAGTTTCGAACTGCCGACCTTGTGGTTCGCCCCTGATTCATAACCACTACGCTACCACATTACTGGCCCCAAACTCACCCAAGGCTCCTAAGAAGACAGATGAGGCTGCCTGCTTCTGTAAGATGTACAGCCTGAGAAAGTCCATGGAGCAGCTCTACTCTGTCCTATCGGGTTTCCGAGTCAGGGTCACACGGCACTAGGTTTTGTTTGTGTTAAGGTTCCTAGTAGTGCTGGA